CTTCGATGTCCACATGTGCTGGAATCAGGCTCTTTTCCCTGCTGCCTCGTAAGACGACACGATCTGGTTAAACGCTGCTGTTGCTGCAGTCCTTTTTAGGCAGAGGAGAAGCTCCCTTTGGTGGGAAGGAGTGCGGCAGCAAAACTGAAGGAAATCTTTCCCTTCTAACAGCTCCACGACCATGTACAAAGTGGTTCATGATGAGGCCAGAATAGACCATCTACCTTAATATTTAATTTTAATTTTCCCACAAATGGTTTTAAAACATCTGTCCATGATCTTGAAGAAGTCTGAGATATATAGAACAGACTACTGATAGCCCCAAATTAAATCCTGGACCCACATTTTTTGTGTCAAAACCTCCTGGTTATATGCTACCTCCACAACAGGTGAACGGTATCTTCACAACTTTTCTTAGGGCAAATCTGCTTAGAGCTAATTTGATTTGGAATGCAAGCTTCAAAATTAGCCTCATTCTTGTAAAACACTTTGTAATGTTTGTATCTTGTAAAAAACTGCTTGCTGGATGCTGAGCTAAACCCCATCATCTCTCGTAGCACAAAAGGTGAGGAATGCTGGCCATGCTAATTCAGGATCTGAAAGCCAGGGGAAGTCCAAATAACATGGGACACAATCTTCCCTAGGAAAACAATAGTGCATCGGCCAGTCTGACGGGAGGGGAGGAATCCCTGCGGGCTGCTCCTACCTTGGTTTTCCAATCCTGTCCTGAGCAGGCCAGCCCGTTCTGTTTGCGAGGCTCTTCGCTCTCAGCGCAGGGACTTACCCCTGTCCCCAGCGTAAGACGCTCCTGAGCTTCTCCCCTCTGCCAATCCCACTGGCTTGAATCCCGCGCCATCTGCATGAGAAGCAGCTCCAAACACACTCCCAAACTCAGGTCTTCCAAACAACAGCTCTGCCCTTCGCAGCTGTGGCAGAAAGCTGCCTGTTCCAGTCAAAGCTGCAGAAGTTCCATTCCCCAACTGCAAGAGAAATTTAAAACTACAAAATACAGAACAAGTGAATTTTTTTTTCTGACAATATTTATTTGAATACAAGAGTCAATTTTCATGTAACTCGTGATCAGACTTCTCCAGTGTTCACTCGGCATGAATACTGGAGTACTTGAATTTCACAAGTTTTTTAATATTTACAGAAACTGACTTTGGAGCTTGACAAATGCTCACTGAAAGCATCTGGGTACCGAATGGTATCATTAGTTACAGCTGTTATTAGCTACAGATGCCACCTAAGTAGAGAGCAAAACCAGCTACAATGGGATTTAGTATTCACAGCACAACCTTCCCAATCAATTTGAAAAACACAGTTTATCACCAAAATAAAAAGTTCCCATCACCTGTAGTCCTCAGGACGTTTGCAGATTTCCAGTCTGCGCCCAGATGCATTGCTAACAGAATACAACAGATGCAGTGCAGTGAACACACAATTCCTTGCGCGTTCCTGATTTCATACCGTTTGGATGTAAACTCTTGCAGAGTCACTGTGCAAGTTTCCACCCTCACCAAAGCAAGGGCGAAGCATACGCTCACTGCTGATACGAGTTCGTGGCAGCTCCTGTTTATGGTTGGATGTGGCTTCTCTCTTTTGTAAAAGGAATTTCATATGCTGAGACTCTTTGTACATATTTATAATGACTTTATTAAAAAAAAGAAAAATAATTGTTCAATGGCAAAAAAAAAAAAAGGCTCTGGTTTTTCTTTCCCCTCTGAAATTTGAGAGAATAGTTTCTTTCCACAACCCTAACTGTCTTCCCATGGATATCAACACAAGTTTCCCGTCGGTTGTCACTAGAGCTGAAGTTTCCCCTGTATGTTTTCTGGTCCAAATGCCATGACTTTATTAAAAAAAAGAAAAATAATTGTTCAATGGCAAAAAAAAAAAAAGGCTCTGGTTTTTCTTTCCCCTCTGAAATTTGAGAGAATAGTTTCTTTCCACAACCCTAACTGTCTTCCCATGGATATCAACACAAGTTTCCCGTCGGTTGTCACTAGAGCTGAAGTTTCCCCTGTATGTTTTCTGGTCCAAATGCCATGTTCTAGGAGAGGGCAGGATTGTCCTGCCTCACCAAACCCCCACCAGAGCTTACCGAGAGGAGGGTCTGACAGCCTGCTGGCGGCACAGAGCCATGTCTTCCACAGCGCCCAGGCTGGAAGAGTAGGGACTGAAGGATGTTGTTTTAATTTAACAGCTATACAATAGTGGCCTGCAGGAAAGTCCTTATCTTGCAGGCATTACGATGATCTTTGTTCTGCTCCCAGTAGAATAAATATCCCCAGTGCAACATTTCTCCTTCTATTTAGCAGGGACTCATTTTCCCAGAGAAGTGGGCACTGGACGGCCCAGCGAATCCCAGCACCCGTGTCCTCTCCGCCACAGGCTGCTCGCATCATGACGGTCTCACATCCAGCTCGCAGTGCGGCGTTCTGTCACTGAGGTATCCCAATTGGGACAGAAGCTGCCTGTCTCAAAGTTACCCACACAACCGCTCTCCTGGGTTTCTGTGAGACAAAGTGAGCTGCAGGGGCTGTCAGACACCACTGACACTCAGCACCAGAGGAGCTTCTACACAGGGACCAGAACACTGCCTTGTCGCGAGGTAAAGCAAAAATGAACAGGAGGGCTCACCTGAGATGAAGCAAAAGAAAAATTAAGCAGTAGAAGTCCTTTAGAGAATGATGATGCTGGTGCAGGGGTTCTTACGTGGGTATCAAAAACATCCAGCGGTGATTCTTCCCCTGTGTGCTGGTGTGGTGCTCACTGTGGGATCCTTCCGAGTCCCTGGGCTGGAGCAAAGTGTTTCAGGTATATGATGGTGATAGTCCCCTATTTCTGACACTGACAACTGGGAAAGATCATTCAATAAAGAAAAAAAAAGTAAAGAAAAAGGACTATAAGAATGGCAAAAAATATTCTCCATACTTTCCCTTTGATTGCCTTCCTTCCTTATCACCAAATAAAAAGCAGTAATTTTGAAACAGCGTATCAACTGCTGTCTGCAGTGTTAGGCTCATATTGACCTTCTCATACACTTCTCCAAATGCATTTTCCAGGAGCATTTAGAAAAAAAAAATCCGAATTAGAAGTGGCTTTTCAACCATTTTGAAAGCAGATACCACCAGCCCTTTAATTAATTGGCATTGCACTGAAAACTGATGCTGAAACCTTCCATAAATTGCCTGCCCACAGAACGAGCATGCCCACTGAAAACCTCGCCTCCTTCCTCACTGAACTCTCTCCCCCCATCCCCAAAAGGCTATTCCCATCAGAGACAGCCACTGGATTCCGTGGCTTAGTTCTCCACTTTCACGGGATCCATCTGACAAATGACAAATCACCTTGTTTTGGAAAGTGAAGCTTTTCCTTCTCTACTGCCCTGTATCTCTCAAGCCAGATTTGGACTATCTTCCCTGCTCAGGCTCTGCCTCTCATCATTTCTCCTCTAGCCATGCTTAGCTATTATTTGCGAAGAAATGTTGAGCCTTAATCCTGTTACCATGAGCTCCTGTTTGCTTTAATTCTCTCCCTGTGGAGTTCCACAGCAGGAGGGGCAGGCGGCACTCGGTGTTCACAGAGCTCGTTTCCCCCAGGTACAGTTCTTCCTGATTATCCACTCAAGCGGGATTGTAACCTTACGGCCATTTCCATAGTAATGAGCATGGAAGATGCCACAGTTGCCTAACGAGGCACTTTCTCTGGGCGTGCAGCAGCTCCAGCGAACAAACAGCAGCAGCATTTGCGTGCGAGTGCCACTGCAGCACCTGGGCAGAGATGGAGATGGCAGCACTATGAAGTCTGTAAATTCTCCTGGTAACAACACAAGGTATCTCCTCCCAGAGCTTTTTCAGAAGCAGAGGTGGTACAATCAAGTCTCCACCATCACAGGTGGATTATCCAGCTTGTGTACAAGCCAGGCTGGCTCCTGAAGCAATGCAGGTGTTTCTGTATAATTCCGTCCTCAAGTTAGTAAGTCTCACTAAATCCAGTCTCTCCAGGGGGCCCTGCATCCCGATGCCCCAAAATTTCTGGTATCAGCAGTGCTGTGTGAGCACATTTGTTGTGGTTTTGGGCCCAGGCAGGTTCTGGATGCTGAGTGGCGCTGGTTTTTAAAGCCAGTACAGCCTTGCCTCGAGGGGCTGTGCCAGGATTATTGCAGAGATCCCTGAATTTGTGAGATGCTCTTGGTGAGGACGTTAACTTTTCACCTAGTCAAATCAAACCTGACTTTAATCTCTCCCTGCCTCCCACTGTTCTCCCCATATGGTAGGAAATCAGAAACTCTGATCATGAAAATTAAAGAGGGAAAACATTCCCAGGAAGAGCAAGTGTCATTTCCAGCTTCGCTAGCATGGTTTTTCACAAGTTCTTTGAGATTTTATTAGGATGATAACATGCACAATTTGTGTAATCAATTGCAAAAACACGGCTGGTGGGAAATGATGTTTCTCCAGCCCCAAATAAACTCTGGGCACGTGGTTCTGAAACGCTGTTTTGAAGCAGTTCTCAAAGGTGGTGTAACAGCAACAGTGTAATTCTACAATGTCACAGATTCAGGGAAGCTAAGGCCATTTAATGTGAAAAATCCCACAGTCTGAGCCAGGGGAGGACAGCTTTTTTACAGTAGAACAGGTTTTACAGGTGCAATTCACAGTACGCTTTCCTTATACACTCAATATTTATCTATACTAAAAGGACAGAAAAAAAGGAAACATCCCAGGCAGTTTATAACCCTGGAAACTCAAGAAAAATTCTTGGCTGTAGCTTAGCCATGGAGTTTACTGTAACAGGAAACACATCTTTCTTGCCTTTGAGGATAAAATTTCTGGCTAGTAACAATTGTTCTGTCAGCTCCCGGAGAAACAGAGCTGGAAGAAAGACTACGACAACATATCCACAGGCAGCTAACTAGGGGCATGGGATCACCAGATTTTCCAGCCTTTTCTTCTCTCCGCACATGTTATTCCATTTGTCGGGATGTTTCGGTTTTAATACACCTGGAAATGAGCAGAGGTGGTGCCATCCTTCCAGCAGCGCAGGGTTTCTACGGTGACAGAACGACAAAGAGGACAGGTCTTCTCCCTGTCGAACCAGAGGCAGAGGCACTCTTCACAGAACACGTGTTTTTAAAAAGGGCATCATCACCATGAGGGCAGGAGGTCCAGCCTTGTCACCGAGTGTGCACACTCAACAGGACAGCCACAGGAGCAAGTCACGACTGACATTCAGGGGGACACTGCAGCTGATCAGTAGTACTCAGACGATATGAACAATAAATCCCAGCATCACTAGTACATCAGTTTGACAAAGCCAAGGATATATATATATCTCTTTCTTAATACAGCAATAGAAAGAACCACTGAAAAGGCCTACGACATTTCGGCTAACAGAGTCGTTGAGAGGGTTTTCTCTACCATGTTTCCATCCTCAATCCCCCTGGTTATTTTACAAGTCTTCACTTAGCTCAGGCAACCCTCTTTCTTCCCCCTACTTCAAAGCATTTGCTTTTTTCTGCTCACATCACCCAGTCCTAGCCAGTAGCTTTGCGATTCTGGTTTTTCCTTCTCTATAAATGTCAGTTTTCACCCCTTATCTTCTCCTCTCATTTCTCCCCCGAGCCTCCCTCCAGCCTGCCTTGGGTACGAACAGGGATCGGGGGGTCAGCTGTCCAGCACACGACCCCTTCTAGCCCAGACTGGAAGAGCAGGAACAGGGCAAGGAGGGAGAACGAGAAGCTGTAAGAAACTGAGACCTCCCCGACACTTGTGGAGTCAGCAGAAATGTTACTCATCAAAATCTCAGCTCTGATAAGCACATACAGAGATAGCTTCTCTGGGGCGTACAGCGTGATAACATCTGCACAGATGTTCACAGGAATAGCAAGAGGCACTTTTGTTAAAACTCGCCAGAAAAAGGCTCATGAGCTTTATTTTGATATCACAAGAGAGCATATATCCCACCAGTGCCATTCCCAGAAACAGCTGAATCATTCTGCCTAAGGTTTTCCCTACACGCACCCACACATCAGCCAGAGACAGCCTCCAGGATGCAGAGTTTCAACCCCAACAGACAGAGCTTGACCGAGTTACAGGCAACTGAAGAGAAAATCTTGGGGAAGCATCATCAGTCTTGCCACGAGGCAATGCCTTCAGCTGGCCTCTGATAGATGAACAGAACCCACGGCAGCGTGGTGTGTCTGAAGGGTTCCACCAGCACCAGATCAGGACTGCTGCACTGCTCAGAGCACGGCATTCTTAGGCTCCTGGCTTTGACAGTGTTTACCAAATGAGAAACAAAACAATTCCCAGGGGCTGACAGCAGCGACCAACTTCTATGTGCAGAACTACTTTTATTCCTGGCCGGGAGTTCCGAGGCCAGACCATGATTACACGGTGCTGAACCCTATCAGGCTCATTCTGGATCTACGCCCCTCTCCCAGCACTTGCTCGTAATTCGGCTGGCCTGGTCACCAGCCAGGCTCCCCGAGGGTCAGATAAAAACATCTTGCTTTCCGTATCCGAGGTCTGGACTGCCAACTGGCAGTCTCTGGACTACGAGGCTGGTCTTTTCCCTCTCAATAGCTATGACCAGCCCCTACAGAGCGGCTCAGCTATCACAAGTCACTGGCTATCCGGAAGAGGGCAATAAATATCCACTAGGACCTAGATGAAGACCCAGCAAATTATTTTGGAAGTATCTTGCCTAACTGTGCCTGTCCCCAGTTAACCAAATGAATGCCAATAGGGGAACCTGACGTGGGCAGCTTGGGGTCTTACCTGGCACATAAGGATCAAAGGTTCCCTGAATTCTGCTTGGCAGATGGCACAGATGTCACCTGCCTCACTGCACTGCTGGCTGGTAGCACGAACTCCGTAGGTCTGTTAGGGAGAGGTGCAAAAAAATCCCAGCATCAAAGGGTCTGAAGATAATCGAGTTTGTGGCCAAGCATACACATAGACCCTGTTTTTCACACCCAGATTCCCTGCGTGACCTGGGAAGGACACTGGTGTTGTGTCACGGCGTATGGGGACAGGTGATTTGGGCAGCAGCACACAGAACACAGGGAGTCTGGGGCTCTGTGTTCTCTGTTTTGTTTTCCCCTCAAGCTGACTCCATCTTTTAGTGCCTCCACTTGTGGAGCAATGATAATGAAATTTAATGAGCTCAACAGGGAGCTGAAAGGATTAATTCAGCATCATTTGCAGAGGTGTTTAGATAGTGGGAGGTATTATTATTAGCAAGTTAGACAACAGAAGAAAGAAAAACAGCAGCAGCACCCACAGGCTTCCTACTTTTCTTTTTAAATATGTGGAAGGGAAATGTTGCTTCTCCTATGGTAACAGTAATAGGGGATATGGAAACATGCTGAGGAAAAATGACCACGGAATAAGAAGTCAAGCTCTAACAGACTTCTATGATGTCATGTTCCTTTCCTCTGCAGTCTTTGATTTTAAAATTTAAGTCACAGTATTTCGCTTCTAAATATCAGTACTGTATAATGCCATGCCTGGGATAACTTCTGTGCGCTGTAGGATCTCTTTTCATGTCACTGCACATCAGGCGCTACATACCTATGTTTAAAGTCTTCCTCACACTCTGCACTATGAAGTTTTGTCGGCTTCTTGCCGTTTTAGCCTCAACGGATTAATTCACATGACACAGAGCTTCCAATCAGACAAGAGAGGCCAGACCAGCAACAATCTCTTACCGCAGCTGGGACAAGGCAGGTATCAGAAAAGGTTCCTACCATTCCTGACAAGAGATACCAGCTTATCCACCCGTGGGATGACAAATTATTTTATGCTATGATCCTGACACACTGAGCAATTTTCAACTCCATCATTCAATAGTAACAAGGTTCCACCTATGAAACTGGTTTAATACATACGACTACTTACCTGTGGGGTGCAAAGGACCTTCAGTGCCTTCCGGACACTTCCCACACGACCACAGATGTCAAAAGACTGCAATAAAGACATTCCATTTTAGATACTTTCCAGAAAATATGTGCGTGCATGCACACATGTATGTTTGTGTGCAGTCCAGAAACTCAGGAAGCGGTTCCTCCAAATGGATACTCAGAGGGAACAAAGATCCTAAGCAACAATGGTGCCAAAAAAAGATTTCATGGTGATTAAAACATATGTAATAAATGTGAACTGACAGTGCAGAAGGGTTGCCAAAAAAGCTCTGGTAACAGTGGACTGCAAATCAAGGACTTCACGGGACATAAAGAGGAGCAGACGTTATGGGGTTGTGGTGGGGTAAGTTGCTCAGTCCCACGAAGCAGGAAAGGGCTAAAATGGACCCATTCCCACCCTGAGAACCAGGTACCTGGAAAGCCCAAAAGTGAGGTTAGAAACCACTGTGGCTAGCCTGAGAAAGAGGGAAGGAAGGACAGTCTTGTCACATGGAAGAGGCAGAAAACAGCTTTCCTCAGCCTCTGGGGAAAAGGGGGATTTCCAGGGCTGTGCGGCTCTGCCACACCGCTTGACTCTTCAGGGCCCAGGTGATGTTATGAAAGAAGGAGGGGGCATTGCCTGTCCTGCTGCAGAGAGTGAGTTAGCAGAGAGCAGTGATTAAATACTACCAAGAGAACGGCCTGAGGAATGAGGAGCAGGACTGATGCTGAGGTGCTCCCATCCGCCTAAAGAGGAGAAACTTCAAATGCCAGGAGGGGAGTGAGCTTCCACCGCCTTGGTACTTTGCAGACACCCAAAGGTGGCCAACAGCAGGGGCAACACCAGGTTCTTTTCTCCCTCCCTCCCTCCACTGTCCAGCAAACATGATGTAACTGCATCTGGAGAGCAGTGCTCATGCTGGGCTCCTCATTAAAGACTAAAAGCAGTTCAGAGAAGGGCAGAAAATGAGCCTGCAGAAAAATTTTTCTGAAAAGAGACTAAAAAATAAATATTTACAGCTTGGCTGAGCAGTACAAAAAAAGTAGGAGGAAAAGAACTACCTACAAATATCAAGGGGATGAACACACCATTCTTAAAGTGAAGATGTGGTACTAATAATAAAAGGGAAAACTGCTTGAAAAACCTAATCTGATATCCTTCATCCTCCCTGTCTGGCTGGACACAGATACAAAAAAATGATTGTGCAAAGAATAGCCCTCTATGAGTTGGGAGAGGGGCCAGGTGACACAACAGGACCTTTCCATTTCTGACCTGAGTGAGGGTAGGGGAACATGCAGAACACGCAGAGCTTTAGTGGACTAGCAGCACAAAGGCACCAGAATGCCTGGATTTGGCTTTCTATTTTTATTTTTTTTTTTGTTAGAATGATTAAGTGGGCTCACTGCAGGGAATGCCAATGAGATCATTGTGCGATAGATGTGGAATCAAATGAAGGCACCAATAATGCTTCCAGTCAGCACGTAAAAAGGCTCCCAGGGTCCTACCAGTAATGCTTTCAGTCAGCAGCTAGCACTACTACAGACATTTTATCTTCTAACAAGGATGGGAATCAGCTCTCTCGACAGTCCAATTCACAGCTTTCTCTGGTTGCTTTGCTTATGGCATGACTTTTAATGCTTTTGCTCTAGCTCTGATGTTTCCTCCTCTCCCAGTCATTTCCCCCTTCAATTTTTTATCCTCTGGAGTTTCCTGTACCCTCAAAGATGCCTGTTTCAGTAGTCTCTTTGACATCTATTTATCAGCCCATGCACTGAAGTCTGTGTTGCATCAGTCATCTTTCTAGCACTAAGATTGCAACAACTGGGTTCACAGACAGTGAGTGTTTCTGTTCAGGATAGAGAAAAAATAAGACCTGGATGCCCTTACTAATGACCATCTGCGATTTCTTCACCAAAACCAGAAGTTCATGTTTACACAGTCCAGACAGAGACACCAAGCCAGCTCCCATCAGCTGCAGTACACACAACCTTCTGAAAGTCGAGCCTGTCCTTTGTGTGGGGAAAGGGGATGCAGCCCTAGCTCAGCCCTGGATTTTCGCCAGGAGCACAGAAGGTCTGAGTGCCAAATTGGCTTCTGTGGTTTTTCTAATGTGGTTTGTGGCTTTGCTAATGTGGATTCCTTGGGGTATATTTTCAGTGTCTCCAGCAAGGAATTAGACCTGCAATGCTTGTGACTGTAAATGGGATGCACACACCTAGTATTTCATGATCTGTATTAGAAGAGTGTGCTACCACTTTTATTTCACATTCGAGCAAAGTCTCTAGCGTGCGGAAGTCTAATCCTAACCGGGACACATCTGTAGTACCAAGTACCTGCCACACCATGACCTGGGACATGTTCCTGGACTTATCACCCTTCAGCTGGCCTATCCATCCAGTTACACCTCTGACGAACTAGATGAATTAATGGAAGAAACATGCACATTAAAGGCATAGGCTATAGCCAAGGCACTTCCACACAAATGTGCCCCACAGTCCTGGTCCCAAGTTACAGTCAAGGCTAGTAAGCAGCTGTCCTTCTCTCCTCAGGGAGCCTCTAAATAACAGATCAACAGAACTCTTCAACAGGAGGTTGCTTTTCCAATCTAGATTATCACAACACTACCTATAAAAGCTTCATAGCAAAGAAACATCTATCTAGCCCATAAAGAACCACTTGCACCTATGTGTCAGGGCCCGGAGTGCATTAATAGGGCCATGCCGAGCCTCACCTGGGGTCTCTACCCCCAATCCCTTCCCACGGGCTCAGGAGCTCAGCCCTGGAGGCCTCAGCTCATGGTTGAGCTCTGCTGTGCAAGTGCTGGTTTCCAGTTGAGCCACAGCTGTGTCTAGCTGCAGATCCCACTGATCTGGACACCCCAGCACTTGGAGTGACTCCCCAGCCTCACCTTGAGCCTGTCTCATCCCTGGCTATGTGCTGCGATTGTTGGGCAGTGTCTGACCCCCGTTGCTTTCACCAGACCTGATCCTGACCTGTGGAGTGATGTCCTTGGCTTTATCTTGGACCTGCCTCACTGCCTGAAGATCAGGATTCTTTGAACCCGGCTATTGCCTCCAGGCCTCCTCTGCTTGCTTTGTTTGGGTGCTGTGGGCTTGGCCCTGGCTGGTGAGGCCCTCGCCCTGCCAGCTGTGTTCTTGGGCTTGACTCCCTTCCTCCAAGGCGCTTGCTGCTTCCTCACATTATGAGGACTTCTCCGGAGGTAAGAAATGGCATGTGGAACTGCAGGTAAGCATCCCTTTATCATGTGCTGAGTAACTTTTGCAAGAAGGGACACCAGAAAGATCACTTGAAGTCTATCTTTGTAACCGTGATCTGTGTACCTGACCTCACAAGCCAGAAGGGCATGGAAGAGTTGGCTACTGCTGTCTACAGCAGATCCAGACAGTGACAATTCTGAAAAAGGCAACAATCCTCTCCCACAGCACAGAGTAAAGAGCAGGAAACACAGATGAGAGAATGGATGGGGGTGCAGGGAACTACACTGGTCTCATGTTCCTTCTACTCTGGTGTTTGCTCTGGTTTTGGCTTGGTAACAGTCCTGCTGTGACCAAACCACTTCACCTCCCACGACCTCCTCTACCCATCTTGCCTACAAAAACTGCAAACTCCTTGACAGCAGGGCTTGTATTGCCCCATTCCTACACAACACACAGCTGCAATCGCAGCCACATCTCCTGTAAGAGCTATAGTATGATGTCGTATTGCTCAGCAATCCATTAGCCCCTTTGAGCTGTCTTCAGCTCGGATATATTCTCTCTTCTTCGTTTTGCTTCTGGAAAGCCATAGCCCCTTTCTCCTAGGCAGAGACAAGTATCAGGGCTGCAGCAAGCTTGACTCACTTGGTGTTTCTCAGAGGGAGAGATAGCACAAGTATATTGTTTGCTCCAGCTACTGCTCTGCCCCTCTCAGGGAACACAGTTGAGAATGCAACTATTTGTAGAGCTCAGACTTGGGACTCTTCCAAATAAGAAAGTCACACCTATTCATTTACAATTGTACAGGCAGACTTTGTGCTCTTAACATTCTTATTTCTAAGGAAACAACAATTACTCTTGTCCATCAGTGAGATATTGGACTTACATCAGCCAGAACTACCTTATCCAGGCAGGACTTGCATATCCCTCGCTCTCCTTGCTGCATTCAATACTGTGAGTGACAGTACCTACGCTGCCCCAAAAGACAGAGGAAGGCTTAGAGAGAAACATTTACCTGTCTGCAACCTTCCTTTCAGTGTTCCAGTGAGAAGTTTGGAGGCAGCTAACCTCTCTTCCCATACTGCTCCCCCAAGACCCCATTCCCGTTCTCCTCTAGCTTTTATAGAAAGGTATTAGACAGCAGCAATGACTTCATCAGCCTGATGCAACACCACATGAGCAGTCACAGATCACCAATGCCCACACACTGAATCAAAATGCTTTTGGCAAATAAAGCACATGGTGTCCCCAGCTGCTGCAGTTTCCTTCCTGGGTAGTGATAATAATCAAAAAGTATATTGTTTTCCCCCTCAGCTGGGCTTCTTTCTCTGCTCTTGCTACAGCTCCCATAGAGGTGCAGAATGAGGTGGTACTTGCCTTGCAGAGGCTATACAGGATGATCAGGATCCCACCTAGGAAGTAGCTGCTGGATGGATCATCTCCCATGATGTATTTATACCACAGCTGGATGGGGACAAGGGAGCGGAACAGCTGGCTCAGCTCCTCAATAATCAGATAAAACTTTCCCTGTAAAACAAACAAGAGATACGTGATCACTATCAGGAGGTCAGAAGAAGAGCACTTAATAGGTGCAAGGCTTGAACCCAGGACAAGTTTATCAGAGTTGTGTTCCCTGTCCACCCACGCACCCTGTTAAACGGTGTGAAGACCAATACTCACGAGACACAGCTTTCTTTGCAGCCATTTCATTCAGTGCCCAGGAAGGACAGCTATCACTTCATTGTTTCTTAGTGTTCCTCTTGCTCTGTCACTTATACAGCCATTGTTCTACACTTCTGAATCTTAAACTTTTAGAGGAGGTTATGGATATACACCTTACTGCATACCTGTATGATGCTACAGAACACTAGCAGCAGAGGTTAAGACTTAACAGGGATTAATATGATGTAAATTGTAGAAACTCTTAATAATGAGAAAAGGAATACAAGGCAGGTCTCTTTCATCTTATACCCCTTCTGAAGGTACAGGGATTTAAATGTAAGGTGACACTAGTCTTCCTGGTAACTTTCTAGATCATCCCAAAAGAATCAAATTATCTATTTGCCAGCATCCTTCCAGTTTCCCTCTGGTGTGCACTGGCTCTTGTACAGTACACAGATAAAAAGACTGTCTCTGAAAAAAACCCTCAAGGCATTTTAAACTCAGAGATACTAAACCTTCCTGAGGACCTTAAGGAAGAAAAGAGTAGGAGGGGGAAAGCATGCTGGCTGAAATGCTTCTTTCTCAAAAGAGGCTCAAAGAATGGGCACTGTTTTTTGTAAACCTTCACTAAAGCTGTCCTTGCTGTTCTGGTGTTTATTCCTTTCAGACCTTTCCTTCCTTGAAGGACACCTGCAAGGTAGCAGGCTCCCTCCTGGCTTACTACAACCATGAGGTGCAACAACTGAAATAGCTGTTTCTTATCATGCGATTTCTATTTTAAAGCACCCAGGACTAGGGCTAGGAAGCTGGCTAAATAAGGCCATCTAATCTAGGGTCTCCCAGTCTCAGTGAAGACGCATTTATGTTCTGTTCTGCCCTGTTTAAAAGGGAGAGCTGGTGACAAGGCACTAGGTCAGGGCAAGCTGTGAGCCCAAAACAATACTGAATCTGCAATGACATTATCTGGACTGAAAGATATGGTTTTGATATGTCAAAATTCTTTTATTTGATAAGATCATGGAGAAGTGGAAATTCCCCTGGAATTTTGCTGTGTTGTCCCACTTAGCTTTGTCATCAGTGATGTCATCACAGGTCAATTGTTAATTGGTGAGATTTGGAGTGGGGATTAAGTCCTCTGCAGTCCACGAGGCTAGCAGCAGCTAGTGCCCTTCCCTAGGGTCTCTGAGATGAGATCACTCGGCAGGCCATCCTGCTGCACAGAACAAATCGAATCCTTTAGAGAGCTCTGGCATTCTCATGATCTCATTTCCCCCCTGGGACAAGGAGTGAGGTCACACCAGCGGTTGCTAACGGACCTGGGCTGCTTTCTCCCTCTCCCCCAATCCTCTCCTCCCTGTTAATCCCAGGTGGCATCACATAGCAAAAATGTAACAGCAACAAACTGGGGTCCTAAATGCAAGCAATTTATTAAATTAACACAGAGGTCTCTATCCAGCCTCATGCTTCAATACAATCATCATTTATTTCAGGAGCCCATGTGACAGAGGGTCGCAGTCTGCTAATGACTACACTGCCGCTTTCTTCCCTTCACACAGGCAGTTCTCTGCCTCCCCCTCCCCAGCCAGCTCTGATGAAAGCTATCAGCAAGCTAAAGGCAGCAAACTGTTTGCTTTCTGATTTGTTCCTCCCACCAGGCTCATGATGAGTGTCATCTTCTTTAATTTACCCTTTATTTAGCAGGCTGGGCTGGGACAGGTCACTGCTTACTTGCCCATTGCATCAGATGGAACTGCTGGATCCAGTATTTGGGGCATCAAAGCTGAAACTCTTCTACAACAGAATTTTTTGAGGCACTAGAACACCAGAGCCCACAGCAAGATGTATCAAAGGACAGGCCACAGGCAGTCCCAGAGGTCCAGACAGGCTGTGGAATTGAAAGTGTCAGAGTTTGTCTCTAAAATGAACATGCAGCAAGTGACTAATTTCGATTTTTCTAACCACAAAATCTCCACTCTTTACAAAGCTTTCATAATCCCTTTCTCTAATGCGAGTCTTCAGTTTTCAATGGTAACTGCAGAGTACCAGGATTTCTTAGCAGCTAGATACTTGTTAGCACCCTCACAAGAGTGCGGTTGTGTTTTGAATGGATGCATCTCTCCATCCTGCCCATTAACACCACCCACTTGACCATTTAAGAGAGGCCTGTTGATAAGCTTAGAGTGATTACAGCCAGGAGGAGGGAAGCAAAACAAGGACAGCTGAGCATCATTTAAAGACAACTAGTGCTACAGCCAGTGATTACAGAAACGTAAGGCTTGTCAGGCATCTCGGTGCAACACACCAGCCCTCTTTTAAATGAGGAAAAGTGCCTAAAAAATCAGAAGTAATTCTACAAAGGGCTGAAGCAGAAGTGGGGTCCTCTTTCTGAGCCAGAAGCTTAGAAAATAAGGGTTGTTCCCTATAATTTCAGCAGCAAAGTTTAGCCTTCTGACAGCAGTAAGTAACTGCAGATGGCACCCATCACTTGTAAGGGCACTCAATATACCTATCTTCTGCTTTGCAGCTTTGTTATAACTTGGCTAAGTTGAAGATTTGAAAGCCAAATCTGTCTCAGGCTGTATTTTCTCTGAAAACTTCAGATAAACAGTTTCAGCTATTCCTCATCAAGATTAGGAAGAACTGTGTACTGTATTAACCATAAATCTGTGCATCTGACTTGGAACAACAGCTGGAAATGAGGCAAGGCCTGCCTCTGTTAGGTGACTTTTCCTTTTATAAAAATCCATGTCAGTCTGGGAATCTTCTCTTGAATACACTCTCTAGAGACTGACCAGCTCTCTAAGATCAGCAAAAGCTATTTTTGGTGAGCCTGTGAGTCAGCCCCAATGCATGACCAGACTGTGCAGGAGCCAGCTCTTCAGAGCAAACGTATTACCTTGCTGGGCTGCAGAGATTAAATAGGATATTACCGAAATTACAGCTCCTGGTTTGGGTGGTCAGGTACAAGGAAAGAGGCTCTGCTCTCATCAAGCCCTTGCAAGGGGTTGGAGTTAAGCCTGACTAAAATGTAAGAAGCACACTGCTCACCCTGCTTCCCCTGTAGGTAGGGTCACTTATTGTAAAAGCTGACAGTCCACTACTACTGTTAGCAAACACTTCATTAGCACAAGTGGCAGAGGCTCGTGCTGTGGATCTAATTATGGCAACTCTAAGCCTTGTGATACTACACGGTGAAATTTTGATTCTTTTTGTTTTTTTCCAGAATGCTTTTTCAAAAACCAAGTCAATGACTCAAGTATAACCCCCCCATTTTCCTCCACCTCCTTCACCACATAGAAAAACCATTTTTATACTTTAAATCAAGCACGTATTTTGGAGAAGTAGAATTCAGGATTTTCATACAATTGCAATTTTCCTTCTGTACGTGCAGTATTGTACAGTCTGTAACAATGTGAACACATACTATTTTTTCACAGAGGGTGAGTGGGACTCGTTAAGCATGTGACTTTAGCACTTTGTTATACCCTCATTACTTGATGGCAGATCTGCATCCTACCACTTCGTGCTATTTGAGCTGTGCTCAGAGTAGAAAATTACTGAAATTTCTTCAGTCTTTTTATGACATCACCGCTACAGAAAAAGATTTTTAAAAACCTAACTTATTTTCACATTGCTGGCTGACATAAGGGACAGCTATTATCTGCATTTTCTAAATGAAAACTTAAGACATGGAAAGACTAAGGTTAAGGTAAGGTGGTTTTGGTGTGCAAGCCGAGATGTCTGGGATTACTTTTTATAAAGCACTTAATTTTATAAATGACATTACCACTAAAAGCTAAACCACTGACTTCAGTTTGCAGCTGTACACAGCTTTTCTAGAGTCACATAGGAATTATTTGGCAAAGAAAAGGATGGAATTTAATTCTCCAGTGTAGCATTCAACTTTAACTTGTAGAACATTCCTCTTCTTCCAATGGTCTCTTTGTTCTCTGTGCACTTTCCAGTTTCTACAACAGCTTCTTTCAATACCTCACCTTGCCTCATTCGCAAGGCACGGTATACACTGGTGATGGATGGAAGAAGTCTTACAGAAAAATAACATGGTATCATGTAATTAAAAACTGAATCACAATATACGCACACACCAAAGGGGGCAAATCACAGCTGCAGAAGCAATGCTAATTCCCGCACAGCCTAACCGAGCACCGGCTTTGTAGTCTCTTTAGACATAAGGCTTTGTTTAAGTGTGCATGTGTGCCTGCACAGAAGGAAACAGAAAGGCATGCTCAAGGTTTTACACGGCGGAATTAAAATGGGATGTAAGAGAAGTGAGAGAAGTTGCAATGAGGCAACTGTAAGTTGTGATTAGCACTCATGGGAAGATCCAAGTCTCACTTGTACTGTTGCCAGCAGCACTAGACATATTCTGAAACAGGAAGATGGTAGAAAAAACTTTTGAGACCTGCTGGCAATTTGGATCAGAGGAGAGCAGGCTCTGCTGAGATTTCAGGTCCTATTGCCAATATAGGAAAGCATTGGGTAGGAGCAGTAAACAGGACTGTGGCCCAGGGGATGCTGGTGAAAATCCATGCAAGACTACTAAGGAAGAGTAATTACAGTAGGACTAGAGAGGAAAATGAGAAATGAGATTTTGTTAGTGCACAGCAATTTGAAAAGTCACATCTTGGATATCTTAAACTGGAAAGTTAAACTTGGAAGCCATCTAAGAGCCGTGATTCCTTTAAGTTTAGGAGCAGTGACTTTCAAAGTGTATTAGAGAAAAGGATGGAAAAGAGTCCCAGTCCCTCAGTACCTAGTCTGATGCTTTAGTCTTTTTCTTTCATACATAATAAATCCAACACCTCTGACTCTGCAACACATCTGTCCCAGGCTGCAATAGGGAA